TTTTTTTCCTCATGTTCATGTGGAACTTCTTGTGTTCCAGTTTGTGCCTATTGCCTATTGTGTTCAATGTAAAGGGATGCAATCAGCAGTTCACATGTGGGTTTTTAACAGTTGTAATCAGTAGAGATTTTGTTAATAGAAGTCAGGACAATAGGATTTGGTACCAAAAAGTCTAGCTGCCCAGCTAAGTGCTCTCACATGGGATTACCAGCAAGCCAAGATGCTATGTGAGACTGAGGTATAATGTGATCTACTAAATTCTCCCTATTTTTTTTTTCTTTCTTCTTAGAACAGAAAGGAATTGCATTACCTCACTACCACTGGAAATCAACCTGACTGGGGTTGGGGGATAGGGGAAAAAGTGTTTTTTCCATGAGCTGTCTCAAATGCTCACTGCATATATTTTTAAGGTGCATGATCTCATAGGTAGTTCTGCAGCAAGGTGAGAACTGTTCTTGCTGCCTGTGCTGATAGCTGCATCCCCCACGCTATGTGGTTTGGCACAGGTTTGCTGCCATGTGGGAGCTCTGTTCAAGCCCAAGCTGTGTTGCCTCTGCCTGAGCTTTCCCATGCGTATGCCCATGTCTGATGGAGAGGCAAGAAGTGATAAGAGGGCTGTACCAGCTCTCTGGCATGGCACGTATGTCCAGGTTTGGTGATTGTCTTAGGAGGGCAGGAAGGTCTTCCTCTCTGAGGAAAAGTTTGGGAGTGTCATTTAATTTTCTGCTTAATTGAGCCAAGAGGCAGGATCTGAGGTCTCTTGCAGGTCTTCAAATTGGCATCAAATCATAGTGATGCATCAGGCCAGGCAGCATTTTGAGCTCCGACGTGGGAGTCCACAGCTGGAATTTGTCTTCCCACCTAGGACACGTCTCCTTCTTCTGCTTTTCAGCTACTCTGGAAAAAAGCTGTATTTCAGTTATGCTCAGCCCCATTTGCTCCCAGGCAGAACAGGCAAAGTAGTGATGACTACTGAATTAGTCCCACCCAATGAAAGATTTTATCTCTATACAGCTCTCTTTTGTGTTTTTCCTTTCTACTGTCGCATTGCTCAGTTCTGTGGTAATTGTTGCTCAAGGACATTTGCTCAATTGAGCTGATTCTCATGGTCTTTTCTGGCCTTCAGAGCACACAGGATGGCTGTAGCGGGAAACAGACTTTTTCTCAGTGTACCATTGCATAGTTGAATGCCTGAGTAACCTGTCTCTGTGGTTTGCAGTCCCATTGTTGACTTTACAATGTAGAGATGTGCTCTAGCATCACCTAACTGGTGTCTAGTTGAATTTCAGTCACCCTTGTGAACATAAGGGAGATTTGTGTCATTAGCTTAGTTCTGTTCAAATAAATGATTCACACTTCCTAATCCTCTAGTTTTCTTGATACTTATTTAGGGTGGTACAACAGAGGCAATAAGGAGAGGAATGGCCCTTGATTCAAGTTATCCATTCTGTTTGACCAGTCAAATTGCTAAAAGATCAAGGGCTTGAGCTGCAGGAGGAAAAACAACGCAAACCCAGCCCCAGTAGCATAGCAGCCCTCTGCATTTGGAGATGGGACTTTCCGTCTTTGTTGAGCATGACTCCTGCAGTAACACCTGAGAGTATCAGAGCGTCTTTAAGGGTGGGTATGGGTTTGGTGTTGGTTTCGGTGGGCTTGGGCTCCATTCTGCATACAGCTGCCAGTAGTTAGTCATTCCTAAGCCATGGGATAAACAGTTCCTGCCCTAAAACAAGTGATATAATTGCCATTTTCATAGCATTTATGTGAAATTCTGAGACAAACATTCTAGTTTGGCTCTCACCTACTCAGATCTACAGCTTGTATCTTCCAGGCCTGACAATAGGATGGGCCTTTGTGCACTGGGCTGGAAAGGAGCCCACATGTGCACAGTGGATAATCTGGGATTGGGCAGGAGGCATGGACAAATCCAACTGCAGGCATAACTCAGGAATAAACAGCTGCTTCTGTCTAGCTAAGGCCCTGAAAGGGACCGAGGCAGGCATCATGGCAGCACCAGCTCTGAGAAGCCCCAAGCGCCTGCAGGGATTGCTGCCCACCTCAGTGGGGAAATCTCCACTATGAAGCCAGCAGTGTGGGAGCTCTGCTGTTGAAGGGATGTCTTATTTTATAAATGTGCTAGAACACAGACAAACAGCTGCATGAGCCGTTTTTGTGGAAGTGCAAATAATAATATTGCAGAGCTGTTGTATCCTTGGAAATGGTCCAAGTCCAAAGCAGGATTTGGTTGTGTGCTTCTGGCGGTAAGGTTATGTGCTTGTACCAGATGGAGACTTTAAATTTTCATCAGCAGGTCTATAAACACAAAGAATATCCTTTTATCAGCCCCCGGGCCTCATGCTAATAAGCTGCAAGTGCTGATCTTCAATTCGTGTGGAGTGGGGGCACAAATGAAATAATATACATTCTTCCTGATGATTATCCATCATGTGAAAATGAAATCAAGACATGAGTAATGACCTGTTTGTTTATTTACTTCTCCATCTCCTTTTAACACCTTTTTGATACTACCAGTGATTAAAAATTGTTAATTATTTGAGGCATATTCTCTAGCGATGAAACTGTTGACTACTTGCAGATATTGGGCCAAGCCAACACAAAGATGTGTTAAGTTTGCTATGGAAGGATGAGCAGAGAGGTATAAGCTTTGCAGCAATGCTGCTGAATGTCATCAGAAAATCCCAGCTTTCTTAGTGGATGCAGAAGTATGGAGGATTGATCAGTAGAATGCTGCCTTTGTCTTGTGCAGTGGGGCACTCTTGTGTGCTGTACATGTGTCCTAGCTGAGAAGCTCTGTCTGGACCTAGCAGGCATCCAGCTACTGGTAATGTGCCCCATGGTTCATAAATATTTCAGGACATTTGTGTGTTGGAACAGCAGCATCAGCTCTTCAAGGTGTGTTGAGGAGGGACTCTTCCCTGACCAGTCTCTTCTAGGTGGGGGAAATGTGCAACGTATCCATAAAGATCAGTCTCTGAACGTAGTTTGAGATGGAACCAGGAAATTGTCAGGAGAGCTCAGGCAAGATGCAACTTTATGAATTTTAGATTGGTAGATTCTACATCTGTGTTTTCATGTCTTGCTTTAAGAAGACTTCACTGGAAGTGTAATTTATTGAGAATAGGGCCTACTGTGGGAAAACATACCTGTGTAGATTTGAATCAGTAAATGAAAGAAAACTTTCTTCCTAATAATATAATTCATTATTTTCTGACTAATCAAATCCCAGAGTACACCCCTCAAACATATAGTCCTCACTTCTTTGATGATTGTATGGAGTTTGCTTCATTAGAGGACAGTAGCTAAATATCGCTCCTGCTCATTTATAATTACAGAGAAAGCCAGAACAGAATTGCAAAGATCTTCCTCAATACCATGAAGCCAACAGGATTTCACTTTCCCTGGATCGTGCAGTAGGATTGAGATATGTAGCTGGAGACAGCTACTGCTATTTTACAAAATATAACAGCAAGCTGAACATAAGAAGTAGCAAGAAGACAGCATGGCACAGTAGTTTGCAATTGCAACTGGAGCCTGAGCAAAAGTGAAACTTGATTGAATTATAGGAGATGCATGAGTTTTCAGTCCTAATTTAACATAGGCAATCAAGGCTGAAAGATTGAGACAAAATAGACCTGTTCTCTTTGATTATCTCTGATTTGCTACTCTGATGGCATATATTCATGTTAAAAGGAGGCCACTAAGCTTGTCTTTGTACTGCACTGGCAATAATATTGCAAGAGAGGTTCTTAAAACAGCAGAATCAGACAAAGTGAAAAGAAAGATCAAATAAAGTAGGGGGAGGGAGAAAGCAGCAACATACAGTATGGCTGCACAGACATCTTAATTTCATTTTAATTAATCTGACCACTCAGAAAGGGAGGGAAGCTCTTTGTATACAAGATGATATGTGAGGTAAGGAGCAGCCTTCTTCCATAACACTGAGATTTCCTTTGACTAGTGTCTCTTAATGAAATGAAGGGCTGCGCTCTGCTTCGTGTTTCACAGAGTTAGGGAAGATCAAGCAGTGTGCTGATCCTCTGCATCTTGCTTATGAAACCTGCAGATGATGGATATGCAACCTCTGTAAAATTTTCCTGTTGGTGACTCAAGTGCTTGGCAAACAGGCTGGTGAGGCAGGCTCGAGGATGAGGTTGTGGTTAGAGAGACTGCCTAGGTAGCAGAGCTGAAATCCATATCCCTTTAGGGGGGCCTGTTACACTAGAAGCTGAATGTGGCTTCTGATCATCCTGGTCGTGCCACTGCCAAGTGTCTTTGTGCTGCTGGTGTATTAATTATGATTGGTATCTCCCCCTGCATTGCACTGGGGCAAAAGAGAACCAGAGCTCTGACATTTAGAAATGTGGGTCAGCAAAGGAAAAGAAGAGCTAAACAAGAGTGAGTCCTTGGCTTTTACTGGGAGAACTTCAGAATGTGGAAAGAGTGACTAGTGTAGCTGGGCTATGAATGTGAAATTTCAGGGGAAAACACAAGGTCTTCCTTTATCGATCTCCTTCCCAAACTCTGTGTGGTCACCATTACAGTGTTGGCTTGGAGGCTGTAGGTCTTGCTCAAAAATGGAGCAAAGAACTATGAAAAGGAAGGGATTAAAAAGAGAACAGAAGAAAGAAAAAAAAGAAAAAAAAGAAAGTATTCCAGCTGCAAACTTGACTTTCATGTAGGCCAATAGTTGTCTTTAACAGCAGCAGGTCCCAATTTCAACCTCTTTGAGTGAGAGGAACGTAGAGGCGCGTACCATCCAGTGACTGCAGAGAGATGAAACTGGGACATTTATGAGATCCCCCAATACAAGATTCATAATTAGCAGTCTATGCAGCAAGCCCTTCTAGCATGCAGCCATGTACTTCGCTCGCTCCAGTACAGAGCCTGTTTGCCAGACTGCATTGAGGGAGGAGAAAAAAAAGATTTTGCCACAGGGGTGACCTGGTGACTAATGAGTTTCATTGATCTTGTTCTTGCAGGAGACAGCAATCTGCCCTCTACAGTTCCTGCAGACTTTTCTGCTGGAGGCTCTGAGAAAGCAAATGTGAGATGTTATCCAGAAGCCAGGATGTGTGAGCACACTGAACCTAATGATGCTGCTCTCTCAAGTATGCATGAACACAATAGTATGGAAGATGCAAGCATCAGGAAATCTCTCGATAGCTTTTACAAAACATACTGCAAGAAACAGCCAGACAGCATGGATCCCACCTATGAGGCTGCATCACAACATCTTTTGAAGAAGATTTCAGAGCTAGCAGACCGGGATGGTACCAAATATGCATTGCGTTGCCTGCAGATGGCCCAGCTTGTCTTGAACAGAGACAGATGCGAGATCTTTCCAAACCACCCCACTACTGCATGTTTTTCCAAGCCTGCTGAGGGAGAAGTCATGGTAGAGGACAGAAAGAGAACACCTGGGCTATCAGATGACATCCTGCAATTCCTCTTCAAACAAACACAGATAGAACGTAGCCCTGATGTGCTGCATGAGAAGTGATCAAAATGCTGGATTGTTTATGTCACCAGTGACTTTCTTGGAAAGATACTGTCGCTCTTAGTGCCACCTTTGACAGCCCACATTCAATGGAAGAGGGTTCATAAGGAGCAGATCTTGCCCACCTGGTTTCTGCAGGGTAGCACCAACTAAAAAGCATCTGCAGTCCAAATTCAGCCCCTGCATAGGCATAGAAGTATGTCCGTGTGCTGTCGAATATACCAGATGATTGAACAAGCTCAGCATGGTATGCTCCAGACTTAAGGAAGTAAATTAAAATTTTGTTCTGTACCTGACTGATACTGTACAGCTTTTGTCTCCAAGATGGTAGCTGAAAGTTGGTGTGCCTACCAACAGACATATGATCCCACAGGTTATTATTACAGCATGGGTGAGTTTCTTCAACAGAAAAAACATGCACACGTGAATCAAAGGAACTACAGCTTCTGAACAGGTTATTTTTTTACAGGAGGGGAAAAAAGAGAAAGCAAAGCATTATCACCTTAGCGATGTTTCTAACGCCTCAGATGTACTAGCTAAGCAGAATGGGTTTTCTGCTGATATATGTGAGCTGTTTTAAGAACAACCTGAAATAGCTGCTTGAGCAGGAAGTCTGCAGATGTGTTCATAGAATCATGTTCATAAAGAAACTGTGGAGTTGATGCCTGCTGCCCCGGTGTTTGCCTGCTGTGAGATGCAGAGAACCTAAGAAAAGCAGAGATCACATCTCAGCATGCCTAAGACTGTGGTTTGTTTGGTTGATTCTGTAGGGCTCTCCCTGCCCAGTAGCCTCTGCTGATTTCTGCTGTCATGAAATTGTGAGCCTGGAGCTTTTACAGAGAGGAAGCCAATCTTTGATGCCTTAGTACAACCTGTTATCTTTATTGACACTGCAAAAGACCTTGAGATTACTTTCTTAGTGTGTTCCTGGATGAAGTAAAAAAAGTTCTGTGTGAGTTTTGAACCATGGGAGTGCTTTCTGTCCAGTTAAGGATCAGCTGGCACTAGCTGTCTGCAGTGAAGACTTACTCCTTCTAACACAATCTGCTGCTGCTTATACTTTTTCGCTCTGGTTTTAGTTGGCAAAATTACCACTGGTTGCAGTGAAAACTGGCCTAACACTGGTTTCCCAGCTTGGATTGTGATGACTCTGTCACTTACCAGATGACATTAAGAGGTGACTTGAAGGACTCATTTCCAGCAGTTCTTTTTCATCATTGCCATCTGGGAAATTTACAGAGCTGTGAGTGTGATGCATCCCTATGGATTTGGCAAGTCTAATTCTGCTTTGCTTTGTGCTTATGGAAGCTAGGAGTGAATCCCAAGGAAAACAAATTTATGAAGGAGACTGGACTACTGAAGCTTTGGTGTGAGGGTGCTGCTGTCATGTGGGGCTGCAGTTCAGGCCCCTCTGCTCAGCATGTGGGAGTCCTTTGAAGTGGTCATTCAGGAAATCAGGGTTCCTGATTTCTCTCTGGACAGGTAATCATAGAACAGCTTAGCTTAGAGTGGTCCCTAGCAATCATCTAGTTCCAACCCCCCTATTTTAATCTTTAAAGTTATCAGTCATTAAAGCTGCAATTATTATTATAAATATTCTGTTCTTGAATGAAGTCTCAGGCTTTAAAAGACACTCTTAAGAGAGCAAAGATAGTTTCTTACCGATGTTACCAGGCCCACTACTTCTGCAGCTTTTGCATTGCTTCACAGTTTTCTCAAAGGGCTTGCTGGAAAAACTGTGAGTTTTGTTTTCTTTATCATTAAGTTTTATAAAAATTTATAATAATTTGGAAAAAAAATTGTTTTATGACAGATTTTTGTGTTTTAGGTGCTTTAAAGAAGCAGAGCAGAACTCAGCTGAATAAAACTCCTAAATCCCATTGAATTTTAAATGATAATAAAGCAAACTAAACATTTAGGGGAGACTGACCATTGTGCCAGACACCTGATTGTGAAGTTAGGAGCCCACCTACATTTGAGTTCAGAATACCTGATCGTTACTGCTGTGAAGTGACTGTTTCCATTTCTGGAGGAACACTTAATTTTAGGAGGTGTTTCACTGGGATTTTATAGTTTAATCACTGTTAGTAAGTTAAACAAAACTGCTGCACAGAGAATAACACCCATCAGTCCCTTTCCCACTCACTGCTAATTAATTTTTTACAAACCTGTGCTGGAACCTGCTGTATGTATTTCCAAGTCTGCTGAAAGCCAAATGTTTTGCATTACTCATTTTCTCGATTAACATCTCAGTTTCTTCAAGACACAGGGTGAGATGAATGCATCCCTCCCCTTTGCCGCGTGCTCCAAATGAGACTCTGGTTGCATTTGTAAGAAACACTCAAAATCGATCGTTTCCAATCAGGCAAAGATCTTCGTGAAGTGGCAATTTTCATTATTGCAGTAGTGGGTGTGCATCTCCCTCATGGCAAGGGAGAAATTGCATGCTTAATCAGTGAAATCCATGCCATATGATACCCTTTCTTCGACATACAAGATCTCTCCTGTCGCTCAGAGTGTGTCAGGCTCACAATCGACTTGGCATGCTTGCTGAAGTACACTTTATATATGGTTTATCACTCACCTGTTGCTTTTCATTTTTCAAAGGGGGACAGGAGGACAATGTATACTAGGCTCTCTCTATCCTGCTATTCACCAGGGCTAGTATTGGTTTCTACCCACCTGCTCAGAATGTTCTGTGTATGGGAACTGCTGAGTCACAGCCTGAACCTCTGATTGATCGCCTGAGGAGAGCCATGAGTCAGCCAGAGGAGCACAGGTGAAGGCAATTCACCTGTGCTGCTGGAAGGGGTGGAGCCTGGCTGCACCTCTCCTAGACCTATTTAAGAGCTGACTGCCAGTGGGGAAGGATCTCTTCTGGAGATCTGCTCTGCTGGTGTTTTGTGAGTGAGCCCAGGATAGGGGTAAGCCTTGCATTTATTCTCTTTTGTTATCATAGACTGCTTTGCCTAACTCTCTTGTTTATTTTGTGATTATAACATTCTAATATTCTTTGATTATAAAGTTCTGAAAAACAAAATTCCTGGTAACTCTCACTCTAAGCTGTACTAAGCTCTGCCTCAGCAGCTCATTGTGAGGGCTGGAACAGGCTACTCAGAGAGGTGGTGGAGTCTCCTTCTCTGGAGATATTCAAGACCTGCATGGATGCCTACCTGTGCAGTCTAGAGAGCCTGCTTTGGCAAGGGAGCTGGACTGAATGATCTCTAGAGGTCCCTTAAATCCCTGCAATTCTGTGATTCTGTTCTATTACAAAACAGGCACAGCACTTGTATGGATTTCAGCATTTGGTCTTCAGCATTTCTTTTTGGAGATGGACTGGCCTACCCTGCCGGTCCAGCTGCTGAGGCCTCTTGACCGTTCCCTTTTCACACTGGCCAGATCTCTAGCACAGATATTTTTTTCATGCATGTCAGATTCTACACTGCAGTTTCATACGGGGCTGCTATTCCTGGGGATTGATGCAGTTGCTGTACTCTGCATTGCCAGCAGGTAAAAAAAATTGGGCTGTTGACTTCAATCAGAGCAGGAAGAAACCCAGCTGGCTGCAAGCTATGGCCAAGATGCTTGGGTTTGGTGCAATCTCTGTGCAGGTAGGTTTATGCTGGGATTATCTGGGCTTAGGTTGCCGTCCTTGAGTCATCATGAGACTGATGTATACAGTTTCCTGATGGTTCTGCTTGATAATTTTCTTTAGCTGATCTTGTGGCGAGGGTGCTGTAATTGCATGTGTGCTGGTATGTGCACAAAACATTGGAGCAGATCTTCAGCTGCTCTCCCAGCTACGTAAGTTTATAGAACTAGGGGGAAAAAATAGAACTGAGAAGAGATCTGGCAGGTGAAGGGAGCCTGTCAGTTCTGTGGTAGTAAATGTCTCCTCCCAGCAGGTGCTGCTCTGTCAAAATCTAGAGAATAGCATCCTGCAGGCAAAGGTTATGGAGGAGGACAATATCAACTGCTACAGCAATAGATATAGCTGGAAAAAAATAAATGTACTCTTGAGTGTTCTCTTGATAATTAGCCTGTCCCTGCCAGCTTGCATTGCTTAACCACCACAGATCTGTTGCAGCTACAAGGACATTCATACTGATGAGTGTAGGCAGCTATTGCTAAAGAGGTTCAGTGGGGAAGGAATTCAGTGTGAACCAAATGTCACTTATAATTTTTGCCTGCCTTTATGATGTTCCACTGCATTAAGTGAGATGCTGCACAAAGTAATTTAACTGGAATTTTAAGACAAATAATCTCACAGAAGGAGAGGTAGAGAAATCAAAGTCAAAGCATCTGAACACCTTTGTTTGCTGGATTGGGTTTGGTGATGAATTGGTCTGTGCTGTGAATTAGCTCTAAAAACACCTGGTTTCTTATATTTATACACGCATATGTATATATATATATATACATATATATATATATATGTATATATATATATATACATATATATACATATATATACACACACACACACACACATATATATATATATATATATACATATATAAGTTATTGCTTTAGCTTCTCTGGGCTGAAGCAACCACTGCCTTCAACTTCTCAGCTTTCTCATCAGAAACTTCTGATGCAGCAAGAAAAGGGATTGTAGGATGCATTTCTCTTCAGCCTTCCAGGAAATGAGATGCAAGTAATGACAAAATAGGTGGTTGCTGAAAGAGCATGAAGATAGATATCAGCAAAGGAGAACATGAAACTCTTTGATTTGAAAGAGAGACATAGGCAGAGCTGGATGCAGCAGAAATACTACATCACTGACATCTACAAGTGTTGGCTGGCATCTCACAGAAGACGTGGCAAGTAAACTCTGTGCTGCTGAAATATGCAGTCTTTTGAAAAGTTTGCACCTCTCATGGTCAGGAGCACCTGGGGTTCTTCTTTGCACTGTTCACTTCCAGATACGATGTTCAGCTGACGCCAATATGCCTGCCGAAAATAGATCTATGTCTCACCCTGAGACAGAAGGAAGGGCAAAACAGAGCCCCTTGGAATAAACATCCCTGGAGCAGGTGATAAGTTTGATGCAGGTCTTTTTTTAGAGGAGAGGATGTTTTTTCTTATCTGTATCTGATTTCTTGTCTAGAGTATGAGGCTTGTTCCGGTGTTCACAGTAGATGATTAAGTGCATAGATTTTAGAAAAGTTAAATTACTTACAAGGAAAATGGGATAGGTGAAGGAGATCCGGGGGTACCTCTTGGGTCAGGTGTTGATTAGGTGGGTGTTAATTTGATATCTGGGATATGGTTTGGAAATAGTTGGCTGTAGCAGCAACTGTGAAGAAAACTCTTTGTGTTGTTTGAGTGCTTGCAGGGCATCTTCTGAACAACAAAGCATTTCCAGGTCACTGACTTTGCAGGCAAAGTTCCACACTTGGTGCAAAGAGGAGAGAGGAAACTTAAAGTCTTTGTGAGTGAAACTAGAAGTTCTGTGCTTGGAGCTCCTTCCCAGAAAACAAGTGAAATCTCTTGAAACTTCAGATAAGTAGAGCAGTTGCACTTACCACTGTAGTGAAAGATCCTTCTTTTTCACACCTTCTGAAGTCAAATGTATCAACCCATGCTATTTATCCCAAGTCTCGATGCTTCTGAAGGGATCTCACTCTGCCCCTGCCCCATCCATGTGCTTGTAAAAGGGGCTCAAGCTCCCATGCAGGCATTCCTGCCCTTAGATGGTCCTATTAGTATTAATGGTACTGGGTGCTGACTTCAGTGCTCCATTTCCACAGTATACTCCTAGTCTTACACTATCAGAGTGTCTGTTACTGTGTGAAGCATTGTCTTCTCCTGTTGTGTTGCTTTTCCCTGAATTTCAAGTACTTCAAGAATTTTCAGCCCTATTGCTTTCTGAGTTGTTTTTGCTTTCTGTGACTGCAGCATGCCACAGAACCACCATGATGGGCTCATGGATTTGACCTGATTTTGCCTGGCTGCCCCAAGAAGGAATGAAGCAGTGGCCTGGAAGTGTTGACACTCATGGTTCTCCATTCACAGGTGGAGAACAGTTTTCCTTCTGAATGTTTAGATATTGAGAATGTGGCTTTCAAACCAACTGACGTACCTAGATTTTGTATAGGGCCCTCACCAAAATGTTCCACGTTCTTACCATTCTTGCCAGGCTGCATGACCACAGGGCAGAGCAGCCTGGAAGGGCAATCCCAGCCTCTGTCAGATACCCTCTGCTGGTTCTATAAGCTCTAGGAGGGGATTTTCCCAATTTTCCATATTGTTCTGCTAGAACTCTGGCAATTTGAACAGATGGGAGAGCAGGGACTCTTAATGCTCAAGTCATGTTTGTCTCCTCCTGTGTGGCAGTAACTCTGCCACTTTTCCTCCGCCAGTCTTCCCTCCTATTTGTCCCTATACGCACTCCAGTAATACAAGGAGGCTGCTTTGGTGATGGCATTTGGTACTTTCCACTGCAGAACAAATCTGAGGATTTTCTGCTTGCTCAGGGT